TAGGTTGGGGTAGCATTGCTAGAAAGGGTTTCAGACTAAAACCCCATAATTTATATCTATTATTTTGTGTTTGAGCTTTTAATAAGCTCGAGCAATTTGAAGTCCATGGTGTCTGGCACTACATGTATAGGCATACGTGCACAACTTCCCATGCGTAACTGTCAAATTACAGCAGGCAAGTGCCCTTATGAGATGATTAGGTCCCAGAGGGTTCTCCAATGAGAGAGCCAGAGGGCTCAACTCACACATAAATTTCTGAATTCTGTGTTATTTTTTGGCACTATGTTGTATGGGCATGTGTGCACGGCTTTCTCTACATGAAAATGGAAGGTTTTACAGCAGGAGATCGTGCTTGTGCCTGTGAGAGTAGTTTGTGTCAGACAACAAGGGTTCTGCAATGAGAGTGTCAGAGGGTGTTCCAAGCAATGCCATGCCTTTAAATCGCCTGCGCAGGCTCCTTATGAAGCCAAGCGCTAAAATGCTGGTCCCAGCAACCAGGGCCCATTGTAGAGGTGTTGGCAGTGGCTTGATCAACTGCGAAAGTGGCGGTGGTTGAAATACCAGCCACTGCTTCTGTGCTCGAGGCTTTCGTTCTTCCTCTTCTTTCCTTTCCCACACAGCCGGTCTGGATCTGTGCCAGAGGTCCATGTCGAGCTTTCACTGCCTCCTCACCAATGGCGTGCAGCTTACCATCGAACCATCTGTTGCTGTTGCCCAGGTCGAACCGGCAATCAGCATCACAGTCCTGATGTGAAGATTACCCGTACCGGTTGAAGCCTTCGAGTGGTTTCCACCAAAGAGCTCAGAATAAGTTGACCTGTCAGCATGAGCTGCTGGTCACCGAGTGGTCCTCACGGCAATTGACCATACCCTTTACCAATCAATCATTTGATTCATATCATGTCGAGTGCAAACCCGTAGTTCGCGCAACTTAGACTGCTGATCAGAGCACGCTGACCTCACAAGCAGTTAGCGCAAATAGACTGCCAGTTAGAAAGCACTGATATGAGAGCTTACAATCAGTGGTTCCTCCTAGCGAAAGTTTGTCGCAGGCCAACAGGTCCCTTAGCGGCATGCAAAGCTCTCACAGCCAATTTTTCACCAAGTCGGACCTTGCAATCACACAGAGGGTCTTCTCGGGCAAATGGGTTGGCACCTGCACACAATCGCAGCCAGTTTGAGACCGCAGTCTCAACGGTTGTCCTCAAGTCCTTCTGCCACTCGGAGAATCCCAACAATCGTTATTCCAAGGGTTTTATTGTTTGCACCACAACATCGCGAATACAATTAGCTGCTGCTTCATCCACACAAGATTTCGCAGGCATCCAGCAGTGCACTTCTCAGACACCATGCTCCTCAACCCATTCAACTAAAAGCCACCCTCGTTGATGTACCATGTCTTCTGTTAAACGAAACAGAAGCGATGACATCTTCTTCGCAGATAAATGGATCAGATGCTGCATTATGTTGGCCCTGCTTTCAAGGGGGAATCATCCATTGCATGGTACACCCCCACTCAATCCCCTTGGCCCTACTGCAACTCCAGAACCAAGCACCCATTCGACCAGATCAGGAAGCACCTTCATGCAGTTCCCAGAGAGGAGACATCAAATAGCATGCAGGAGGAAAGTGGCAGTCAAAAGAGCTCAGGATAATTGGACTCCTTGTTTTCCCTATTTTACATCTTTTTATGTACAGTAGCAATTCAGCTATGGCTGCTGCACTGGAAGAAGCCCAATGTGCACATGCGGTCAGGCGGTCACTAGAAACGTCTCCTGTTAGAAACAGAAGTCGTTTACAGGGAAAGACCTCCTCGTAAGCTGATCGCAAAATAGTAGACCTCCTTGCAGGGTTGATCGACCTGCTGCCAAACCAGCCCGTGACGATGGCCAAAAGTTATAAACTGTGGTCCCTTTGCAGTGCCATTTCATATGTGCCCTGCAGGTCCAGATCGGAATCATAGCATTCAATGCACACTGACCAACTTTCTGCCCTTCTGCAAGGGAACTCTTTGACACACTGCCTGTTGTGTTTCCCACTTTCTTCTGAATGTTTTGACTGGGCTGTTCTGATGTTCTCTTGGCCACAGAGCATCCTCAACACAAGCATGTAAACCTTCTCTAACCTCTGATATCCCAGAAGTGCCAATCAAGGCCGCCCAAGTAGACAATTTCCAGTTCCTTGTTTTGGGATCCTACGCAGGAACCTCTCGCTTGGGAGGGCAACTACTGCACACCAGTTACCGGGAAGTCGGTTTGATCCTTGACTTCATTTTACTGCCATGGAAAGTGGTCATGCAAGAAAAATGAGGACATCATCCTTCTCACATGGGCAGCTCAATTGTAATCTTAAGGACTGTAGCTGAATTGCAGTTGTGGGGTAATATCGGTCCACAGATCTCATCAGACAAATCTCAGTCGGTGAATCTCACCGCATACTCACACAGGAAACTGGCCTGGACGTATGTGACCCCAATGACAGCTAGGATCAGTTGGAAAGGTCGTGGTGTGAGTCTGCCCTCGGTCACTGCCAAAAGGACTCTGGTTTATGACAAATGCCACAAGTCTGGACAAAAGCAGTGGCAGCAATTTCCAAACAAAGAAAGAAGACAACAGTGTGAGTCAAATGGCAACAAGTTTGGAAAGGAGGATCATGGAGAAGCTCCAGGTTCCATCACGGATAGATATTACAGGTGCCATGCCACGAACCTTCTCTCTCTTCCAGATCTCTTTTCCTTTTCTTTTCCTTTTTCTGATGACTGTTTTTCCAGATCTCTTTTCCTTTTTTTTTTCCTTTTTCTGATGACTGTTTTTCCATAACAGTGATGATAACACCTTAAAACGGCTTGATGGACAATCTAAAACCACCGTTCATACTCAGATACATCGTCTCTCAAAATGCACCATGCAAAACATACCCGAAAATCAACCCAATGACTGGCTCTGACATGCCTGCATCATTGTGCCAGTGCTTCTTCTGCACAACTCCAAGCTGATAGTTTCCCGACAATGATCAAGGCATGTCATTTTGCCTGTGTTTCCCTCCTTTTCTTTTTTTATTTCAGACCAAAGTGATTATGTTGGGGCACGGCTTAGCAACAAAATGACTGGGTTCCACGGCCCCAGGCCTCGGCATCCCTAAGCAGGTCGAGCAGCAAGTTCAGGACGGCCCTAAGTGAAGGCCGCACCCTGTAATTGTAAGGGCCCAATGGAGGTGCCAAAGGTAACCACCCAGTAAGCCCTCTGTCTGAACCCAGTCCGAGCAGGTACCTCGCCACGATCCAGGCACTGAAAACTCAGATCTCGGCCCGACAACAGAGCGAAAGGTAGGGGGGCGAGGAATATGATATATTAGGCAGCAGGGAGTGTCATGCAGGAGCAGTAAGAGAGAGATTGCACTTGCAGTAGCTGCTTGCACGTGTGCAGCCATAGTTGGGCGCAGCGCCATAGATGGAAAAGATGGAGAGTGGTCGTAGTTGGCCAGGGAAGGAGAGCGGCAGTGGGGATTGGCGGATACTTCCCCGGTGAGTGGTCGGGGAGAACTGCCATCAGACTCTTCAGCCACACCTTGCTAGAGGAGAGTGCAGTGAGACGTAGTAGGCTAGAGTGTGTACCGCTCCTCTTTATATTGATTATTGGAGGCGCAAAGAGAGCTTTCACTGTCAAGAGACTTCAGCGTTCAGCATGTTCTTGGAGGGGTGTGCTATCGCCTTTGTCATTCTCATACTTGTCATTCTCATACTCATGGAGCATGGTGTGCACACACGTTTCACACATGTCGCACACCCCACACAACGCAGGCATTCATGCACACTGACTAGGGCACGCGAGTTTAAATAGTGGAGGGGGAAGAAAAAATAGAAAAGGGCCACGCAAAAGAAATTTTCAGGCCGCGCTCATGCCAGCTTTTCTTCATTGCTCTGCATTTGTACTATTTTGTAGAGAATTTTCATTTCTTTTGAGTACTTCGCAACGTTGGGACATCACAGGAACAGCCCAGGACTGGGGTGGCCTCAATAGAGCCCTATGTCGTCTCACTTGTTTGAGTGCGGTGCGCATGGACAACATTGCAAGCATCGCCCTCTAGCACCAGCCCTCCTCTCTCTCTCTCTCTCTCTCTCTCTCTCTCTCTCTCTCTCTCTCTCTCTCTCTCTCTCTCTCTCTCTCTCTCCTCCCTGAACCTCCTCCTATCATTCCGCTCCTCCCTGAACCTCCTTCTATCATTCCCCTCCTCCGTCCTTGTCGAACCCCGCGTCTTCCCTCCGCAGACCTTTCATTCCCCTCCTCCGTCCTTGTCGAACCCCGCATCTTCCCTCCGCAGACCTTTCACGTTGTGTTCTCCTCTAACCTCTTCCGCCTCCTTCCCCTCATTCACCACCATTCAACCTCTGCAAACCCCCTTGCTTTTCCCCCAGCCCTCTTCCCTCCTCCTCGAACCTCCTTCCATCCTCCCCAAACCTCCACCGCCTTCCCACACGCTGTACAGGGTTTCTTCTACCTCCACACACTTCTTTCGCTCTCCATCGCCCCTTTTCCGATGTTGTCCACCTTCCGCCAACCCCTTCCCTTCCCCTGACCCTCCTCCCCGATCCCCTTCCACCCTCCCCGAACCTCCTTCCATCCTCCCTGAACCTCTTCCGCCTCCTTTCCAGACACTGCGCCAGATTTCCCCTACTTTGTGCAGTTCTTCCCCCTTCCATCACCCCTCCTCCAAATCACTTGCTATCCGCCAACCCCCGTTCTGCGCCCCCCCCCCGCCCTCTTCGCTCCTCCTCAGACCTCTTTCCATCCTCCCTGAACTGCTTCCACCTCCTTCCCACGTGCCGGGCTGGATTTCCCCTGCCTCCGCACACTTCTTTCCCCCACTATACCTTGTCCTCCAATGTCATTCACTTTTCGCCAACCCCATTCCTACCCCCTCGACCCTCCTTCCCTCCTCTGAAACCTGCTTCCATCCTCCCCGGACCTCCTTCCATCCTCCCTGCACCTCCTTCCACCCACCTTGAACCTCTTCTACCTCTTCCCACATGCTGTGCAGGATTTCCCCTACCTCTGCGCACTTCTTTACCCCGCCATCGCCCCTCTTCCAACGTCCTTCACCTTCCACCAACCTCGTCCATTCCCTCCCAACCCTCTTCCCCTTACCTGAACCTCCTTCCACCCTCCCCAAACCTCTTCCGCCTCCTTCCCACATGCCGCACAAGATTTCCCCTACCTCCACTCCCCTACCTCCACTCCCCAACACTCTTTACTCCTCCATGAACCTCCTTTCACCCTCCCCGAACCTCCTCACCTCCTCAAACCTCCTTCCTTCCTCCCCAAACCTCTTCCACCTCCTTCAGCATACCACGAGGGATTTCCTCTACCTCTGCGCACTTCTTTACCCCGCCATCACCCCTCTTCGAACGTCCTTCACCTTCCACCAACCTCGTCCATTCCCTCCCAACCCTCTTCCCCTTACCTGAACCTCCTTCCACCCTCCCCAACCCCCTTCCGCCTCCTTCCCACATGCCGCACAAGATTTCCCCTACCTCCACTCCCCGACACTCTTTACTCCTCCATGAACCTCCTTTCACCCTCCCCGAACCTCCTCACCTCCTCAAACCTCCTTCCTTCCTCCCCAAACCTCTTTCACCTCCTTCAGCGTGCCACGAGGGATTTCCTCTACCTCCGCACTCTATCCACCCTCCATGCCCTCCTCCAACGTCCTTCACCCTTCCCCTAGATATCAATACAATTTGAATTAAGGTGCTCGTTTGGCAGATGCTTTGTGGGTTGTAATGGGATTCCAACTGCGAGGTTGGACGATAACGCAGATTCTAATCCCCTTCCTTTCTCCTCCCATCCTCCCTGAACCTCATTCGCCTCCTTCCCACGCACTGAGAGGGATTTGCCTACCTTTGTGTACTTCTTCCTCCACCACCCCTCCTTCAACGTCCTTCACCTCCTCTCTTGACCCTCTTCCCTCCTCAAACCCCTTCCATGCTCCACAAACCTCTTCCGCCTCCTTCCCACATCCTGCGCGGGAAATCCCCTACCTCCGCACAGTTCACCTTCCCTCCATAACCGCTCCTCCAACAATGTTCACACCAACGCCCTTCCTTCCCCCCCACTGTCCTCCCTCCTGCAACCTCCTTCATGTTTGGACGCTGGTCAACCTGATAAGGAAAGTGACCTCTGTGCAGCCCATCTCTGTTCCGCCTAGGCTCGCCATCCATGTGCCTCGATTGGTTCCGTTGTTAACTAAATATACACCAAATTCTCATTTGGGTGCTTCTACAAAGGTGTACATAGAAGAAGCTGGTACAGACACACCCTCCATGTAAAGCTTAGAGTGATGAATTAAGGACTGTGGATTGTTTCATTTGAGAGCTTAGAGTGATGAATTAAGGACTGTGGATTGTTTCATTTGAGAGCGTGAAGGAGGACAAAGTTTCCTTCCCACACGCCATACAGGATTACGCCTACCTCCACACACTTCACGCCCCCTTCCCAAACCTCCTCCAATGTCCATCCCACATGCCGCACCAGATTTCCCCTACCTCGGAACACGTCATCCACTCTCATCACCCTTCCTCCGCCGTCCTTCACCTTCCACCAACCCCCTTCCTTACTCCCTCCTCCCTGAATATCCCTCCATCCTTCCCGAACGTCTTTGTCCCCCTTCCCACATGCCATTAGGAATTTTCCCCACACCCCCCCCTTCCCGACCCTCCTCGAACATCCTCCCCCATGTTCGGCCTCCTTCCCACATGTCGTCGGGAATTTCCCCTACCTCGGCAAACTTCATCCCCCCCCATCACCCTTCCTCCTCCCTGAGACCCTTCCCGCCTCTCCGAACTCCTCTGCCCTCCCCAAACCTCCTTACATCCTTTCTCAAACCTCCTTCCGCCCTCCCCGAACCTCCTCCCGTCCTCTCCAACCCGCTCCCACCTCCTTCCCACAGACCATGCAAGATTTCAGCAACCTCCACCCACTTCTTCCCCCCTCTATCACACCTCCTCCCCGAACCTCCTTTTTTTGTTTATGGGAATGGATGACGATGTGGCAGATGGGTGTGGCTACTTCTTCGATGACAACATGGCAGGCGAGCGTGGTTACTTCTTTTCTTTCCTTCGTATGCAATGTGATTTGCAATCAATTTCGGAGACAGCGGCACGAAACGGAGGTTGGCGAGGATAACGACAAGGTGGATGGGAGTGCTGCTCTTTCTTTTTCTTTTTCTTTCTGTTCTAGCTTTCGGGAAGGGAGAAACATGAAACGGACATGCGGCACTTGGAATGAACCCCGTATGAAAGGGCATTTTTCCTTCTTTATGAATTGGCTGTGGTGGAGGGTATGGGACGGGGATAGAGTTGGGGTAAATGACGGGGTGAGCATGGGGGGAAGAGACTTGAAACGCGGTGTCGCTAGGTAGGGGTTGCAAAATGGCGGTGGGCCTGTGGAAAGAGTTTTGGGAGAGGGTTTTGGGAAAGGGTTTTGGGAGAGGGTTTTGGATGGATGTCAGGGGGCGCCACTGTGCCTCCCATACAGGTCTGCACCAGTCCGCAACTGCGCCTAGCAATATGCCGACATCGAGCAGGCAGAAAAAAGTCCAATTAAACCACCACTACCTCTGATCCTCTTTTTGCCGAGGTGGATTCTCCCTGCGCACCAAGCTTTGCCAAAATGCCAGTGCAGAGTTTTTCTCCTTTTGGCTAGCACCGCCAGCCATTTTAGTCCAGTAGCGCTGTTCATCCGAAGTCTGCGGAATGTTGCATTTTTTATTCTCAACATTGCCTAGGAAAGGTGGTGGTGGTTCAAGGAGTGACTTACACAACCATGCCCCCGAGTTGCAATGGAACTGCGCAGAGGCTGAGCGAGCACTTCTTGCGCAAATGCAGCCTCGACCTCTGCAGAAGTCCATTGTCAACAAAGGAGAGGTTGAGGACGTTGTAGGGTATCAGGATTGCCAAATTCTTGTTTGTGCACTGCCAAATTCTTGTTTGTGCACTGCCAAATTCTTGTTTGTGCACTGCCTCTAACTTCAGAGAACAACAATACGCAGTTCGTAAGCAATATTCCCACTCAATCGAAGCCGAGGGGAACGACAGAAGTGACACAGGCCGGGATGCAAAGCCGACACAACAGAAATCTGGCAGAGTCGACCTCCTGGAATGGTGGACGACTCCTCTCCGCAACCGAATTTCTGGAAGTGCCGGCTAAGGCTTGTAAGTTTCGGCACTTCCAGAAATCCGGTTGTGCAGAGGCCACACCCCCGCCATCAATTCGTGTGAGCCTTAGTTTCGGCATACCTTGACCCAAAAGCACAACCGGATTTCTGGAAGTGTCGGCCAAAGCTTGAAAGTTTCAAGCTTCCGCCGGCATTTCCAGAAATCCAGTAGTGGAGAGGCCACGCCCTCTGGCACATACGATTTTCGACGTCGCTGTATGAGGGAAGACGTTGTGCGATCTTGTAGCGGATCGGCCTTGCTGAACATGTCCAGGCAATTATCCCACCAGTGGGGGAGTTCGAGGAGGATGACTGAATGCAGCCATCGGAGAGAAGGTAGCTTAAAAACGATGAGCCAGACCAGGTTAAGAATATTGCCCACCTCAGCGAAGAAGGGTGCAAACGGCATCAATACACGCAGCCTATCAGACAGAGGCAGAGTTCTGCATAAAATGTCTTGTCCATGAATTCGAGCCTCCAGTGCTGTGCACTTCGGAGAGACGGGACCATGTGTTGAGCGCAAGAGGGAGAAAGGAGGGACAAGGCACCACCACGCACAAGTCGGTCAAAGAAAGCAGCAGCAACAGAAGGCAAACGACAACCAGATTGCCCACCTCAATGAAGAATAGTGCAAACGGCATCAATGCACGCAGCCTAGCACACGCAGAGACAGAGTTCTGCACAAAAGGTCTTGTCCATGAGATCGAGCCTCCAGTGCTGTACACTACACTTTGGAGGGACGGGTGGGACCGTCCAGTGCTGTACACTTCGGAGGGACTGGACCGTGTGTTGAGGGCAGGGGAGAAGGGACGGACAAGGCACCGCCAAGCACAAGTCGGCCAAAGAAAGCAGCAGCAAGGGAGGAGGCGACGGGGTAGCAGCAACAAAAGGCAAACGAAAAGCAGACGAGGATATCGAGGCCCGACCTGCTGGATGCATCAAGCAGGATGTCGCGGCTGAGTACAGCCCTGCCAACCTGGTGGTTCAAGCACGCTGACTGCATGGTCTATCGCAGTGATGCGCAGAGTGACCGACCACTTGCAGGTGCTTTCTTTGGAGGTATTTTTGGCTCGAGGAATTCGAGAGCATCACAAATGGGGCTGTGTCTGCGGGGATGTGGTCAACTAGTTTGGCGAGAGTGGGTCATTCGTTGGAGATGCGAGAAAAAGAAGATGCCTTTTTTTTTTTCCAAGCTGTATGAGATATTTTTCCATCCCTCGTGAGTGTGGAATCCATCTCTACTGTCCGCAAGTTCATTGGTTTGAACTTCTATCTGATTCTCAATTTGTGGATGAATGTGCATGTGCATGAACCTTCTTTCTCCCTCCTTTCTTTCGTCTTTGTTCTCGTTGAACTGCGCTTTCCTTCACCCTCGGCCTACAAACCTTGCACATGGGATTTTCTTCAAGTTGCAGAGACGTAATCACTTCCAACTAGAAATGTGCATGCTGCGCTGTGATTTGCGATCTTTTGCCATCTTTGATTCGTGTAGGACTCGCTTTCCTTCACCCTCGGACTACTACAAACCTTGCACAAGGGATTTTCTTCAAGTTGCAGAGATATAATCACTTCGACTAGAAATGAAATGTGCATGCTGAACTGTGATTTGCAATCTTTGATTCGTGTAGGACTCTTCGCATGCGTATTGCTGCTTGAACGCAAGCCCGGTCATGAAATCAGTGCCAGTGATCTGATCACTTTAATTAGAAATGTGCATGCTGAACTGTGATTTGCGATCTTTGATTTGTGTATGACTTCACACGTGTATCACTGCTTGAATGTCAGCCCGATCATGTAACGTTGTCTGCTTGAACCTTTGTCTTTTCTCACATACCATTGATTGATCTGATTATTGTCGGACGTCGATCGCCAACTCCCGACTCCGATCGACCGATCCCTTGGAATTTGCCTAATTTCCCTACCGTATTCACCCGAATAGAACGCCCAGTCATTAAAGCTGCCTGCATTTGGTGCAACTTTCAGTCCAAAACATGGCAATAATTACCGGTTGTTCTATTCGGATGAAACCGGTAGTTGATAAGCTACCAATCTATGTGAATGGGAGAACCACACATCCAATAACGCTCAGTCATTATAGCTGTATTTGGTGCAACTTTCAGTCCAGATACGGCAATAATTACCGGGCTTTCTATTCG